CAACCTGGGCCACTGCCTCACCTCCCTCAGGTGATGTATTGTTTGTATTTAGGGTGGTGTAGTGTTTGTCTTCAGATGTATTTTGCCCACTTTGGCATGCAGCTGAATCATGTCAGACCTTGTGCCTGTGTGTGTATAAATACCACAGTAAAATTTCAAAAATTAAAAAAAGCCTTCAAGGTTGTGAGTTTTGGATGAGGCTTTGAGCAACCTGGGCTAGAGGGAGGTGTCCCGGCCCATGGCAGGAAGGTTGGAACTTGATGATCTTTAAGGTCCTTTCCAACCCAAACCCTTCTGTGATTCTATAAAATATGCTTTTGCTGTCGGAACAGTTGTGTTTGGTTGGGCTCGCTCCTGCCAGTCACTGTAGCTCAGATGGGGAGGTGGGATTTTCTGTGCAGGCTGGTTTTTCTCTGTGTAGCATATGCATGTGTTTCCCTGTCCTGCAGTAACTGTTTTCATTTTCATGCTTTTAATGCTGAAAATCAGAGGTATTACAGCTTTTGAGTTATGTTCAGTTTGCAAAGGGTGCTAATTTTTCTGTTTCACAAGAAACCAGGTTCCTGTTTTTGTCTTTTTTTTTCTTTTTTTTTTTTTTTATAAAAATAGAATCATGACAATGAAAGAGATTATTGTCTTTCAAAGGAGTTTAGGGATATATTTGATTTTTCTCAAAATGGACTGCTTTTTGGAAGTCTTGTCCACATTGGGCTTCTGCATGCTGGACATTGATAGATCTTGATGTCTCAGTGCCCTGGGCTGTGACTCTGCAATGGCTTCTTAGCCTCACCTGGGAAGCAGTGTGAATTGTGGCATGGGTGTGTTTGATCCCCTCTTGTTTTTTGTAGAGCTGGAGAAAGAACGAAACCGAGGCATTGGGAAACCGCTGCTAGGAGGGCCCTTCTCACTCGTCAACCACGAGGGACAGCCCAAGACCAGCAAGGACTACATTGGCCAGTGGGTGCTGATCTACTTCGGCTTCACACACTGCCCTGACATCTGTCCTGATGAACTGGAGAAAATGATTGAAGTGGTAGATGAAATTGGTATGGGAATTTGGTTGGTGTAGTGGTCCTTTCTATGGGAGGTCCAACTTAATTGTGGTAAAATATTGGAAATAGTAATAACTGGTGATCTTTTTCAAAAAATGCTGTTGACCTCTATTCAGTAGTTGAATTGATTGCTAAGTGATACATACATCAATCTGCTGTCACTAGATTCTGATATTTAGAACATGACAACACTGATCTTTCTACAACAGGGGACTTCTTGGTAATAAAATGTGATGGTTGCAGGTTACAGGGAATGGTGCCATTGCATTATATTTTTGCCAAGAAGTGGTTATGGGCTGTATTAGGGGTTGGTTTTTTTCCATCTGTTTTATTCATTCTGAGAACAGATCTCTGTGAGAGTCTCATTTGAGAGTGACTGTGCTGTGGAACGGAGGTTGGGGAAAAGCTGTGTGATAGAGGTGGTTTACTCAACCTGCAGGCCCTGAAGAGTTACGAGCAGTGATAATAGTAACCAAGCATGTGGGAGGACGGACTAAAGTAAAGAAAATGTAGGGAAGGCTATGACTGGAACATGAGGGGAAAAGACTGAGTTGTGTCTTCAGTTGTCTTCCCAGTCCACCATCACAGGCGTGCTTTTGTTGTATCGACCATTGTCCTCTGAGACATGCATCATGCCCTGGCGTTTTCTGCATCAGAGCCAATTTGTCCTCTCTCCTAAGCAGGGCAGGGTCTCCAGCTGAGAGGCTGGAAGTGTAGCTGCACCCAGCACAAGCACAAAGTGCTGGATTTCACAGCATTTGTTTCATTTGCAAATTACATAAATTAAGCTGCTCAGAATGGCCTTTTTTTGTCACTTATGGTGGACTTGGATTGATGTTACGATAGCTTGGCTCTGAGCTTATTTGAGGGGAGGTGAGAAATGATTTTTAGTTTTCTAAGAAAAAATTATGATTGTTACTGTCACAGATAGAATTCCATCTTTGCCTAATCTGACCCCACTCTTCATCACCATTGATCCTGAGAGGGACAACGAAGAAGCCATTGCCAGATATGTTAAAGGTATTTCTGTTTTCTTCCTTGAGGGCTTATAGCATGTAATATAGAGCACTGAAAAAGAGCCTCTTGATAGGACTCTTTTCACTAAAATGTCTAAATGTCTTCTGTCTAGAATTTTCTCCAAAGCTGATCGGATTGACTGGTACCAAGGCACAGATTGACCAAGTGGCCAAAGCTTACCGTGTGTATTACAGCGAAGGTCCTAAAGATGAAGACAATGATTACATAGTAAGTAAATGTAGGGCCCTTACCTAATGAAAGGCTTTGGATAAGAGCAGGATATAGATTTTAAAATCAAAAGGCAGCTGTTGCAATCTGTGCTGAAGACCTACATGACAGAGCCCTGTTGCACTGGTGCTGCGTTTTGGAGGCCTCAGACACAAACAAGGTGCCCTCTTACAAGCTCAGAACCTCACTGAAATGTTCTAAAAATGTACAATCCCAGGCCTGCATGCAGAACAGCATATGAGCTAGCAAGCCTGGCAGTAATTTGAACTTTCTTCTGCCATGTAATATTTTTGTCCCACTGTTTTCCTGTGTGCTCCAGAGTGAAAATGGAACTGGGAAATTAAGACAATAGGAAGAGGGAGAAATGAGAGTTAAAAGTGGGTAACAGCTCATTCCCTGCCAAAATGACACCAAGGAGCGGGGGCTTCCTGCCGAGAGACTTGGATGGTGCAAAGTCTGCCTGCAGATACTGTGGGGGTGTTCCTCCTGTGTCAGATGACCTGGAGGAGAGAGCATGTTAATGCTAAATTAAGTGGGAGTAAAATACATGGAGTAATAGTATGAAGGGGGAAACTGAGGTTTAAGTAAGTGAGGCTAAACTGGATAGTCAAAATCTTACTCTCTGGAAGTGCATAGGACTGGATACAGGGCTCAGAGCTGCTGCCGAGGCCTTCCTGTCTTGCCACATCCTGAGCAGACTGAAAGAGTAAAGTAGGTGCAAGTGATATGAAAAGTGAGGACACACGTTATATGATCTTCATTACAAGAACTGAGGGTATCATAGAAAATTAAAACCAGGTTCAAATGGAAAGGTGATGGTTCTTGTTGCAGTGGGCACATGAGAAGTGGAATCCCTCGCTACAGATGGAAATGGTAGAAGTTCATGGGAGTCTGCAGGGAGACTTTTTAGTCTTTGAAAAAAACAATCTGTTGAGGATTTTGAAGTGTGCAGAAATCTTGCCTAGCTCAGGAGCCTGTGAGCTAAAAATGTTTGGAAACTGGGAGGTAATAGAGGAAGATAGCATATTTGTGGTACTGGTTTTATATTCTTTAAAGCAGTCATTGTTGGCCACTGTTTGAGGTAGGATGCTGAGGCAGATTGGTTTTGTTGTGACTCAGTATTGTCTGTTCTTCATCTGTTTTTTAAAACCACCTGACTGCAGCATATAAATTATCCATGTGGACATAAAGATTGGTGGAACAAAAAAGTGGTAAATAGAAAGAAACAGCAAGAGGCAGCACGTGATGTCAGGAAAGAGAAGACAGTCATACTGGTGATGTGCGCTGCTCTATGTTACTGAAAGGAGTGTGAAGTGGGAGGTGAAGAACTTGTTTTCGCTTAATGTGGCAACTCAGTAGCTACAGAAGTTTGTGTCTAAGATAGTGTATTTGAATGGAGGAGTGAAGCTTGCTGGGGAAATTCAAACCCAATTTAAATCAGTCTAGCATCAATCTGAAATCGATCAATCTAAAACCAGTTTTATAAAAGGAGGCTGGTGGACATGCAAGAGTAGATTATAGAACAGGATTGGGAAAGGATGCCTGCCCAGGGGAGAGAAAGAATTGGTAGAATCTGACACTAAATGAGTGAACTGAAGTTGAGGAGAGGAGGTGGAAAGAAGCCAGAAAAGCTGAAGGAGTGCTACTGCTTATGAAGTAGATCACATGTGAATTCTGGCAAACCACACCTGGATTCTGGCATGGCCATGAAGGGAAAATTCAGGGATTCGGCCGAGGAAAATAACTGTAGATGGCAGCAGCTTCGAGGGAGGCTGGAGGGTGAAACTGAACTGGAGAATGTCACTACAGATGTAATGAAGTAGGAGAAGGGATTCAGGATGCAGGGAGCATACCACTGGTCAGTGCTAGGATTGTGAGTCAGAGAAGGGAAGGGCAGTGAGGAAGAAAGACTGGTGAATTGGGAGTGGGGAAACAGCCTGGGAGCCCTAGATGTGGTGCCAAGGAGGAAAATTATACCTGTATCTCTTCAGGACTGGTCGTAGGCTCTTGGTTTTGAGAGACAGTGAGCTCAGGTGTCCCCAGGGCAGGGGGGCCAGAGAGCATGGTGTCTGAAACAAAATGGAAAGAGGATAGCAGCAACAGCAGATCTAGGAGAGAGAGGTTGTGGCTGGCTTTGTGCCTACCTGAGACTTATCCAGGTAATTACTACCCTGTCATTTCTTCCAGTAAGCATTTTTTTCCCTCATTATGTCTTGCATGGACCTGTTGTGCCAGTTGGTGGTTAAGACTGATGTCTGTACAGGAGCGGGTTCTGTGTCCCCTGCAGGCTGCTGGGAGGTGGGGAAGAGGAAGAGGTCAGTTAACAGCCAGTTAAACTTTGCTGCTTGTTTTGACTTGAAAAGAGCATCGAGATGAGCATTTAGAAATTATAATTTCTAAACATCTGTTTGAATTTTGCAAGTATTACTTGAATGTTACTAATTCCTATTTAATAATCTCAGTTTTATACTTCTCAATACCAGAGAATTCAATTTACTTGTTTTATTCTGTGGTTTATGAGATTGCGTTGAAACTCAGTGGGAACAGCACAGGCTTTCAGGCACAGCTTGAAAAACAGTGGTCTTTTGCCACAAACTGCACTCCATCCTGACTGTACTTCATCTTCCATAGGCCAGGGAGTTAAGATGCTCTGAGGAGGCTACCTGATTTTTTTTTTTTTTTTTTGCTAGCTTCCGTTTGAAGGATCTAAATTGTGATTCAGATTCCTTTAAAAAAACTTTCTGGAACTTGATTTTGTGATCTTGTATTGGATGTTCGGAACTAGATTAAAATATTTGAATTAAACCTTCTTTAATAAAAGAAACATTCTTTCAGTGTCAGAAGTCCCATTAAGTTTAATGCATCCTTTTAGCTTGTGGTACTGGAAATATTTATGCAATTTCTTAATTTCAAGCACAGTTGTGCTCTCAGTGCGTGAGTACATTTCGGTTCTTTTTTTCCAGTGAGATGATGTAGTCACTTGAGCTATTGCAGCTTCATGGCCTCCATCTTCAGTGTTTTGTGTCTTTGCTTGTAAAGATGGTGTCACGGTTAGATGCAGACGGTACTTGCAGTGTACATTTTAAATAAATTTGCAGTGGAGTTAATTTTTTTGTAAATCAAAGTGGAATATCTTGAACTCAAGTAACTGTTACTTTGAATGGGTTTTTTTAGGTTATTTCAGTTCGGACAGTAGAGGGAGCCCCCTCCCAGCGCGTGTATTTTCCTCTGCACCGGCTCTTTTATCTGCAGCTCCTGTATCTCAGTGATGCTCTTGGTCCCATTATTTGCACTGACGGTGAACTTGATTTAAGGAAATATCTCTGTTTATATTGGATTTACATCATATTAGCATTGAGTACCTTGTGAGGGTCATGGAGCCTCATGAGAAATAGAGGGAAACTGGGAAAAGCGAGGGGGAAAGACCATTAGCCCCCAGGTTAGCCCCATCCTTGTCTGTGCTGTGGGAAGGATGCCAGCAGCTTAGGGAAGACTTGTTTGCTTACAGTATTCCTTCACAGAGTATGCAACTAGTTTTCTCTATTTATTTTCTTGGGTAAAACAAGAAAAGGTTGGTGAGGTGATGCTGGGGTTTTCCTTGTCTTATTTTAGCTTGTTGGTGAAAAGTCTTGTCAGACAGCTGAACCAAAGGCTGACCAGGAGGCTGTTGCTGCTGACTTTGGGCTATGTGCAGGACCTTTCTTACCGGGCCCCTGTGTGCTCTCTTGCAGGTGGATCACACAATAATAATGTACCTCGTCGGGCCAGATGGCGAGTTCGTGGACTATTATGGTCAGAATAAGAGGAGCACTGAGATTTCTGCTTCTATTGCTGCACACATGAGAAAATACAGATCCTGAAACCAAGGTCCTCAAAGATTGATGTGACCGTCACCTGCAGATTTAGCTGTAATTGGGCATTGGAGTTAGAGCAGAAATATACAAGTGTAACATCCTGTTACCACCTTTCTTCCAAATAAGAAAAGCGACCGTACTTCTGCAAAATACCATTCTCAAAAATCTCTACAGAGCCTTCCCCATGGATATTGTTTGCAGCAAGATCTAGGCTACAGAATGAAATTTGCTCTGTTGGGAGTGAAAAAATAGAAAACACTTCTTTCATTTGGGAAGAATGTATGTATCACTGGTAAAATTAAATGGCAGCTCTTGGCAAGACTTCAGTGAAGGACGGTCACTGCAGGAGGAGGATTACGTGATGAAAAGCCATGTGGGCCATGGCATTCTCAGAGGACCCCTGCCCTCTTTTTTTCTGCACTGTTTTGCCTTCTGGGAGAGGCAGTTACAATATTATAAGCAGGAGAGCCTTAAGAGTACTTCTTTAGCAAGATGAAGAAGGTGAAAAGCACTGAAAGCAACAGCAGCTTCCACGCATGGGACCAGTCTTGTAGTGTGCCCGATTTCTTCTCCATTTGAATGCAGAAATGAGATGTTTTTTTTCTTGATGATTTTTCCAGGTGAATGCTGTTAACTTATAAGGAAATGAGTAATGGGTTGCCAGTAGATTTTTCTTCTGGTCTAAATGATTTTATGCATAGTTGGCCTGACTGTGCTGTGCTGAGTAGTGAAGAGGGGAGGATGGAGGAGGTCTGTGTCCATGCACAGTGCTGTCCACCAGATAAATTTTATGCCATACAGCATTTGAAAATAAAAATTGCTTTGTATAAGCAATACTTTTTTATTTTATTTTTTTTTGCTTAGCTAGGTTTGACTAGAATATCATCAGAACTTTGCTTACTGGTCAGGCTTCATACTCTTGCTCTGTTTGCTCTTTTTACAAAGTAGTGTTATCTATAATAGTGCAAACCATGAGCTGAATGTACTTTTTTAAGGTAGCTGAACCCCAGAGAATGACCCACAGGAAACAAAACAAGAGTTCTTGGTGTAAGCCAGAGTGTTTCTGACTGAACACAAGTGCTCCTACTGATAGCACTGGCATTCTTCTGAGCATGGAGGTTCAAAGTGAACATTCCTGTCCCAGGGAAGGTGCAGTGTCTATGGTAGATTTCCATCTTTCCAAAATCCTGATAAATGGTAAATTTAACTTGTTCCAGTGCTATAATGTGACAAAGTAGCATAGGTCCACATCAGCTGCCCTATACTGTGGTGACCTCCAGAGGGTATTGGGGAGGTTAATGCCTAAGACTGCACTATTCTGATAAAGGTCTGGCAAGGAAGGAAGATTCCTGAAGTTCTAAGATACTTCACACCCCCCCCAATACTAGATAGACTTAGTAGAATTAAACTCAACAGCTGAAAAGGAAGTCAGGTTTTTTTCTTCCTTGTTCTGGCTTGTTTGATTGCAGTAGGCAATAGGAGTGACTTCCAAAGGAAATTTCACACTTTAAGCTTTCTCTCAATTAGAAGCTGTGTCAAATCCAAGGTGTTATGAATCATATTAGTGCCTGTGATAAGTGGCACCCTGCAATAATAGTTTTATTTTCATAGAGTGATTGCAAGTGTGATTCCGCGCCTTGCACTGGCTGTGCACCAGTTTGTTTTGAAACACGACAGGCCATGGCTTGACCTGCTGGTGGTAGTCCTGTGGGAAACTGGACTACGGACCTCTTAAGCTCCCTTCCAACTACCACTTCTGTGTTTCTATGAAATTTGTTGTGTTGAGGTTGTACTCAGTGCTCTGAGTTTCTCTGCTCCAGATGAGTGTGTGTCTGTTTCCTTTTTTCATCATGACCTTTACTAGGGAAAATCACCTCCATTTTGAACTTCTGAAGCAGTTGTTTTTAGGATGACTTGGGCAACACAGTACATTAGGATACAGAAGATGGTAAATTATATTTATCTGCTCTTGTCCTAAAAGCAGCATTGAAATATCACCTCGTTATGGGTCCCAGTGGCCCAACACGGTGGCCATTCAGTAGGTTCTCTCTGTAGTGGACAGGTTGCACGTGTTAACTGGTAATAAACAGAAGCTATCAGCGAGTCGTGCTGACAGAGATGGTGTTTAGAAGTGCAGGCCTGTGCAGCTTTTTCTAATCCCTTCTCGCGTGCTGTAGGTCCCCAAGTTCTTATTTACTGTATTTGCATTGGGGAAATACTTTATTTCCTTTTTGAACAAGTCAGAAATAACCTGAATATTCTCCTTGGAGACAGAGGGGGAATTTGTCCTGCCTGTCTCACCACTGCTTCTGTATTAGTCTCAATTCCCCTCTGTTCTGTGTTGAAAATACTGATGTGGAAAACCTAGTGGGAATGCGACTGAGCAATGGAGCAGCTGGTCCAGGAGAGTACTTTGCCTCTTTAAAGTCTATTTGTGCTTTTGATTACACACCCAAATGCTTAGGATACCCTGTGGAGAAAAGATGAATTTTAATACTGTAGTTTCAATCTTTAGGGACTGAAAATATTAATAATACGCATTTTTCAGCCATATCTGTCTTCTGAAGGGAATAGGGAAGAGGACAATATTTCAAAGCTAAAAATGTAGCAGGTTGGTTGTGGGGCTAAAGGAGAGCGTGTATTTATTTAGAACCCATTTTACTTAACTGACCATGAAGTAGAGGAGTGGTTTGAATTTGATGTATGTCGTAGCCTCTGCCAGTAGCAGGGCTTGGCCAGGGGACCCCTCTTTTGGTGGGCTGGGGGATCTCCATCAGCAGCAGTCGCCAAAAGGCCAGGATTGTGGATCATGCCTTCTGGGGTTTCTCCCTGCCATGCTGATGCGCAGCCTCCTGGGACTGAGACCTCCCTTTGTGTTTGGGGTCTTGTATTGCCCCTCCATTTTTCACAGGGGAGCATGTGTGAAAAGCATGGCAGTTTCCTTGAGTTTCCCTCTAAATCGCTGTGCTGATGGTGTTTTGCATGTAATGGAAGCCTAGAAGGGGCATGTGCATGCTCTGCAGCAGGAGGAGATTTTAAGGGAGTGAGTTTAACAGATATAAAGGAGATGCTCGTGCAAAAATGCCGTGAGAAGGGCTAGGCAGGTGGGTTGCTTGATGCACTGATCTTCAGTAGGTTCTTGTCAGTAGCTTCTTGGCAGTTGTTACTGGCAGCAGGAAAGAAACAGTGAAAAACTGACCCCTGTTCCTGAAGGATTGCTGGATAGTGGTAAATTGCCATGAAATGCTTACTGCTCACCTCTCTTTGTCTGTGCAACAAAAACTGGCTCTATGATGGAGTCAGTCATACTACAAGATGCTCCTTTTTTTCCATTGTGTGACTCCATGTTGTATCGCTCACACATTTTTACATATGGACCAAATTGGATACTTGGTCTCTGGACAAAACTGGTTTACATGGGTGACACCTGCAGGTCTGTATTTATTTGACCGTTCCTGGGTTGTTTGTCGCTGTGGAGCTGCCAGGGCTGAGTCTCTGCCCCATGTCTTATCATCCCGTAGCTGTACTTCTCTATGCAGTGGCCTTTGTCTGCATTTCTCAAGGTCTCTGCTTTGTATTAGGCTTGTATTTCTCTGTATTGCATCAGTGTATTAGTCACAAATACCTTATCCTGCCCAGAGTACAACCTGTGTAAGACTAGAGTTGTATGAAGCAATGATAAGTAAAAATAAAACAAATTAGCCAGAACCACCTGCTCGGAAGACAACATTGGTATTACAGCTAAGCCAAGTTAAAGCAAAGTAGAAGTCAGCAGAAATTTGTATGAGGCAAGCTTACCAAGCCTCTGTCCTGAGGGTTTGCAAGCTTGGTACAAAGCCTGTGGGCTGCCGGGTGTCAGGGATAACCCCATCTACATTTATTTCCCAAAGCTAATTTGCAGCTGACTCCTGCTACAGAGACAAATGTAAGATTTCTGTCTTCTCCCAAATGTTTTGGCGTAAGTGTCATGTCCTTTGACTTGTTTTTACATGCTCTGAAAGGCAGAACCAGCTAACATGAGAAGCTTGTGGCAGACTGGGGGTCTATGGGAAACTTACAGAAAGATTTAGGAGGGAGGAACCAGCCCATGGGCTACATCACAGCCCTCAAGCATGTGCCTTGCCTCCTGGCAGTGGGAGCAGCTGATGTCCTGCTTCTTTCTGCCTCTCAAATGGACCCTGCTCATCTCTTTTCAATCGGCCTTTTCCAGGAGCCAGGAGGGAAATGTTCTCTGGAAGCGAAGGGCTTTTTTGTGTTTCGTTTGTTGGCTTAAAAAATTATTAAAAATCTGTTGTTTAGGCAACTGTTAGACTTTCACTGCCTTGCCTTGGTGACAGCAAGGAGCACAGCTCTGTTCCGTGCGTGTTTGGGAGGACCAAGGGCTGTGCTGAATACTGAGCAGGAGGAGGCAGAGCTGGTCAAGGGGTGGATATGTAGTGGAGGAAGTGGAATATGCTGTGTGGGCTTGGAGACCCTTTGTCAGTGGATGTCCAGTATTTCTTTGGTATTAGAAATAGAGCAAGCTTCCTTGTGTACTCATTGTACCCAGATGCCCTGTAGCCCCGAGCGCAGTGCCTGCCCCACAAAGAGGGAGCTCAGGTCTGGCAGGGGAAGGTTTACGGCAGGAGCCCTTGCTTGTGGCTGACCTGAGCACTGGACTGGGGCCGAGAGGTGCCTGGCTCCCAAAGTGGGTCTCCCCTGTGGAAACATTATCACAATACAGGTTTTACTTGGGAACCAAATTTGTTGGGAGTCTGGTGCTGTGAAGGTGAGCCTCTGTTACCTCGGGCAAATGGGGACCCCTGCGTACCCCAGACAGACGGACGATAGAGTACAAGCCTGGAAGAGGCTGATCTGCAGAGCGTTACTGTGTGTGCCCAGACCACAGCCAGCCCCAGCCTACTTGTCCTGTAAAATACTGTCAGAAAACAGCGTCTTCACAGCAGCTGCTGTCTGTAGTACCAACTGCAGAGTTGGTGCCATCCCAGGCTGGAGACTTGCGACAAGATGTCTGAGGAATGAGGAATGACTTAATTTGTCTCCCCAAGCATTCCTTGTGTGCTGCACGCGTAGCCTATGGAGGAGCTGAACTAATGAGTGATGCTTAAGCCACACGGGTGAAGCTGGCCATCTCGGGAACGTTCTCACCCCCAGCACAGGCAGAGCTAGGGATTGGAGAGGTACAGAGACTGTTGCTTTAAATGTCTGCAAACCTCATGGTCCATTTCC